GAGGGAAATCTTGTTTTCTTCTAGGATCAAGGATCATCCCTGTTAGGGAAATATATATTCTGTAATTTTTTATATGACCAAAACTAAGTAGAAAGTGCAAAAACTTCAAAATAGTTAAGTATCTTATGTACATTTAGTGATTTACATGCAAAAACACATGGAAAAATTCATTATTATTATTAGTGAAATATTTCAGATGTATTTTTGTCAGTATAGCATCAGTTTTATAGGTAAACTTGTAATTTAGATAAAATGGTAGCAAGTTTAAAAACAAATATGCTCTTAGAAGAAATAATAAATTATATTTTTATTTTTTAATGTTTTTAAGTTTTAAAGAAGTAGTAAGTTCACTTGTGAAAACATACCATTTTCTTCTAAAAACATGTTTAATTCATTCACAATTTGTGGCCTGTTTCTTCTTAACTTCTCATTCATTTCTATGATCTACATTAAAAACATAATTAAGATACCTATCGAAAGTTTCTAAAAATAAAAAGTTCAACATTAAAGATTACTTTAACTGCCAGTAATTTGTCTTACTTATGCATATGGATATAAATGTTACCTAGAAAATTGTATTTGAACGCTAAGTCCTTTGTAATTAAAAACTATTGCATTAAAGAAACAGTTGGGGTCTGGAGGTATGACTCAAGTGATAGAGTGCTTGCTTTTCAAGCACTGAGTTTAAACTCCAGACTCACCAAAAAAAAAAAAGAAACTTGAAACTCTAAGTGGCTTCCAAAAATTCCCTGATACAAGCCAAGATTCAAATTTAAACACTTGCACTTAATAGATTTTTTTTAAAGGTGGTATTTATGGCTTTTCTAGTCCGTGTAGAACTCAGAAAGATTAGTTAAAATCATACCAACTTCCCAGTGTAGAAGAGGCAGGTTAATTAGCCTTTGTTCTAGTAATTGTCTACCATCATAAATCAGCTTCAATGGAGACACCTCTTTTTCATCTTTATTCCATACGGTCTAAACCGAACCCTCAAAAGTGATGAAGGCCTCAACTACTCTCAAACTTAGGTTCCACAGAGCTTTAACCTCTTTTTGTTTAAAATCACTCAACTGTGTGAGTTTTCAAGTGGCCTGAAAATTCCGGCTCTCTTAGTTTCTATACTTTGGCAAAGTGTTCTCAAACTTACTTTGTGTTTATTTGCTTAAAATTTTTACTAGTTTCTCACATGCCTTAAGAAAAAAATTTCCAAATCCTTAAAAGCCTGAGACCATTTATGATCAAGGCACTGCCTATTCTTCAAATCCAATCTCCATTCACTTCATTCCCTGCACTTACCAAAGCACTGGCACAGGCAAAACCCCTTTTTGCCTTTCTTCTTTTTTTCGTGGATAATTCCTTATCACCCCTAAGAGGAAGCACACCAGACTTTCCATAGGTTTCTCCATGTTTGGAATGGGTACCCCTCTATGCACCACACACTATGTAACCTTTTCAGACATCCCAATTATCTTTTCCCTCTGTAGCCAAGGAATGTCTTCTCATTAAGCAGTGTGATAATAAATGGTACCAAATAAAGAAATGAATATACAAAGTTAGAGATTTTGAGTACAACTTGAGCAGGGTGGAAAAATCAATTACCCCTTGTCGTCCAGATTAATTTAAGAGCTTTTGTAAAAAAGTGAGCTAGGTCAGAGGGATTTAAGTATGGCTAATAATTAGACATAATTAGTTGAAAGAGGTTATTCCAGATTCTGCTGATGAATACTTAAGATGAAACAGAAACAAAACCAAGAAAGTTAGAAATGATTGTGTACTTGGAGATTAAGTTCAGCATCCTAATTTCAGAGATGAAGAAATGGATGTCTACAGCAGCATAGAGGGTGAGATCTTAAGTTATACCTTCTTTTTTGTTTACTGAGATGGTAGACTTTAGCGAGTAAGAAAAAATCCAGATTTCAAGAAATGGACTTGAGCTTGTTAGGGGAATTTAGATCTTCATAATAGGGCAGTGGCTTTCCATGTGTGGCTCTTTGACTAGCAGCATCAGTATCACCTGGAAGGCTGTAGAAGTGAAAATTTTCAGTCCCACCCCAGACTTACTGAATCAGGAACTCTGGGCACAGTGCCTAACAATCTGTTTCAATAAGTCTTCCAGGTGATTCTGATGCATTCCTTAACTACTGAGACAGTATTCTAATAGAGAAAAGATATTTGCATTTATGTGGAGAATTTTAAGGAAAAATAAAAATTGTCATCCAAAATCAAGTAAACAGAGAACAACCTCAAAACAGTGAGGATGACAGTCCATTAGTGTGTTGCTAGAATTATGGGAAACAATGAAGATGACTTTGAACTTTTAAGATTTAGGTGAAGTTACCAAAAGATTTAAAGTTAACTCTTGATTATTCAAGCTTATGAAGAGAAAAGTTGGCGATCTCAAGTCATTCCCAATTTGGTTTTGCACTCAAATTTATTTTTTTCAGTATTTACCTTTAATGGTATTATCAACATTTGAAATGAAATTAGTAGAGTAGGAAAATACCTATGTGCACTCAGGTAAATGGTTTAATTACTTTAGGTTTCTTTTTCTTACATGTAATACTGACTGGATAAACTCAAAGATTCTTGTTTACCCCTAATGCACCAATTCTAGTTTATTTAAATATTTTAATATCATCACTTATTTTAATTTGCCTGTCAACTCTGGTGAAATTAGCAACCAAACAGTTCGGCATTTCATATGTATTATTTCCTTTGCAGTTGTGCTATGAAGAGTTAACCTATTTTTAAGGTGTAAACCCTAACCTGTATTTATTTAGGGGCTCTTGCTCCCCACCGGCTTCCCACTTTCCAAGAGACTGGAGGAATCTTGCAAAAATATGAGAATAAAAGTAGTGATGAGTCAAGTGTTTGGTTAAGAAATGCAGGCTGGGTGGCACGGATTCCATTTACTGCAACCTGAGCCCAAAAAACTCTGGATAAAAAAACCCCATAGAATCAACCAATGAAAACCAGTGTGTCATCGCAATCTGGGCCCGACCTTTCTCATAGACAAGACTGCGCTCCGGACGGCAGCCGTGGTCCCAGCCAAACGCCGGTCCAGGGGCCACAGGCCTCCTCCTCCTCCTGAGGAGCCCCACGCTGCTCTCAGGGCACTGGAGGGAAGTCACACCTGAAACTCCTCCTCGCAAGCCAAGGCTTCTTAACACCAGAGCCACAGAGGAGCAAACGGTTAGAGTAAATAGCCCTATAGCCTTTCTCTGGACATCCCTAGCTCCCAGCGTCCAGCGGCCGTTACCTCCGTCCGGGGCATCAGGTCCTGCCCTGGCTGCAGGTTCCCGTCATCTTGCCCACGGGCCGTGCTGCGGCTGCGGCTGGCTGGTGCGGTGGGTTGAGGGGTGAGAGGAGAGGCCACTGCCTGGACCCATGTAGGGTCACTCCATCCCAACCCGCTCCTGTTCTGGAAAAAGCAGCACTCACCCGCAGGAGAAGCCCTGGGCTCCATCACAAAGACATTGCAGCCCAAAGCTGATGTAGTCAAAGAAACCCTTGGTAAACGTGGTGCCAGGTCGTGTTTTATATTCCCCCACCCCCAAATACCCATACTTTGTGGACACAAGGACCGTTTAGGCCTATTTCTCACAGCAGGCAGCGTAACAGTGGCTAAGAACAGTGTAAATGCTTAGTGTATGTAGCAAACAGTGCGGCCATCACTACTAAAATTATTTTGACAGAATTCAGGACTGGAAAGAAAAAACCGAGCTTCTCCTCCTAAGAGGCTGTTGTGGGCCCAATACTGACTAAAAAATGAGCCCACATGTTTGCTTAGGACTGGTGCAAATGTGCAATGCAAGTGTTCTGTCTCTTGGTGAGCTGCTCTTCCCTGCTTCTACTCAATTAAAAAGGATTACTCCCAGGAAGGAGCTTCATACTTACAAAGGAGTCATGGGGGAAAAAAGTAGTATTTAAGTCATGGGGAATACTTGACTTTGGCAAGAGGAAAGGTTGAGCTGCAGCAGAAGGAATTCCAAGTATTAAAACTTGTACCTCAGCACAAAGATCTTAAGAATTTAAAGTCATGAAAACTGCAGATAGTATGTGGAGACAGTGTATCCAGTATAACATACCTTCCTTTACACAAGAAACACACGCATTAAAAATCATGTTTTTAATTTTTTGTAAAGTAACTATTGGTACACTATGTGACTTGGTTTTTGAAAGAACACATGTGCAAAGATGATCTTAACCTAGATTTTCTGTTAAATTTTTTTTGAGAGCAGGCACTGGTGGTTCTGACTTCTAATTCTACCTACTTGGGAGGCTGAAAGGGACAAGAGTGCAGTTTGAGGCTGCCTGGGTAAACTGTTTGAAAGACCCCATCTCAACCACTAGTGGTGTATACTTGTCATCTCAACTTAGACAGGAGCCTGAGAGTTTGGGAGACTGGGTTCCAGGCCAGCCAGGACGGGAAAAAAAAAAAAAAAAAGTTTCAGAGACCTCACCTCAATGGAAAAAAGCGGAGTATGGTGGTATGCACCTGTAATCCCAGTAATAGTGGGAAGCTTAAAATAGGATTGTGGTCCAGGTCAGATGGCAAAAATAAGAGATCCTATCTCCAAAAGAACCAGAGCAAGAAGCTGGAAGCTTGGCTGGACTGCCTGCCTCACAAAGCACAAAGCCCAGAACTGCCCACAATTTTTTTTTTCCCCCACGTGTTGGCTGACAAATTTTGACACCAAAGATCAATAGTTATCATTTAAGAAAAAGGCAGCAACATCTAAGCTATTATCCTCAAGATGGAAGTAAGTGGTAGGATTTCAGAAGTTCTTTCTTTTAATTTTGATTCTCTCATTCCTGTCCTTTAGTTTACTTTAACCAAGACTGACAACTTCACTAGATATGCCAGCTGAGATTGTGAGATGAGTGAATTCTTCCTGCACAGGGCTGACCTAGCAAATCAACCATTCAAGAACAGTACCTTGTATTCCAATGTGGAGTCTAAAGCTTATAATTATTATGAAAGCTGATTGTGAGAATAAAATAGACTATTATTAATTTATTTAAATTTTTTACAACTTTTCTCAATATACAAACAAGCTAGAGAATCCTAATTTATAAAAAAAAAAAATCACTTGACACATAATACAAATGGGTTTAAAAACTGACTCATTTTTTTATGACCTAATCAATTTCAGTAGTAAGTAATTTTCTTAAACACATTTAATCACTGAGTTTCTGGAAGATAGGTTAAATGATGAAAAAATGGGCGACCATGAACACACCCTTTAATTTCATTTCCAAACTGGTTCTTCATTCTGTAGATAATATTTTGGATGTCCTCTTTCGGTAAGTACATAGGCAGTTGTCTAGACAGACGCACAGCTTCTCCCTGTGAAAAGAAAAGTCATATAGTTTATCATGATATTCCCTGAAGCAAAAAACATGCTATCCTAGCGAGAAGTCAGTAAGTTATTTTCATCTTATTCACTCAACAAATATTTAAAATCATCAACTATGTTATAGGTTCTGGAGATATAGTGGCATACAAGAAAACAAGATCCTTACTCTTGTGAAATTTACATTCTAGTGAAGAGAAACAGAAAACAGATAAAAAGACAAAATTTTAGTAAGTAAATAATGCAAAAAATAACACTGGGCAGTATAATAAAGTGACTGTGTGGTTGGGATAGCTTGCTTGAAGAGACAGCATTTAAAAGCTTGTATTTAGCTGGTAGAGTGACTCAAGTGGTAAAGTATGAGACCATGAGTTCAAACCCCAGTACCACCAAAAAAAAAAAAGTTACCTTTAAAAGCTCATATTTAAATTAACTATCATGCGAAGATAATAGGATAAGGAAAGCATTTCAGGCAGAGAGAACAGAATGTTCAACCTAGGCATAGCACAGTTAAAGGGAAGAGAGGATAAAGCTAAGAGAGTTAGGCAGGGGCCACATCACCCTCTAGAACAGTGAGCAATTTGGATTTTAATCTGAATACACAGGGAAGTAACCAGAGGTTTTTAAACAAAGCCTGACATGCACTTCACAATTTAAAACAATCAGTGTGGCTGCTGTGGGACATATGGTTTGAGGCAGGTCAAGAAGAGAAGCAAGGGGTCTTGCTGACAATAGTCCTCATTTCTCAATTGTAGTGGATGCCTTTTAGAAAACTAAAACTTCCATTTATCTTTCATCCATTTTCCTCTCCCTTCTTTTACTCTTGAAGAGATTAAGACTTAGAATATTACAATTAATTTTAGACAAGTCTAAGGTATAAAGGCTGAACAATTTGGAATCTATTCTAAGGGGATTACTTATGGAAATTAGGAGAGAGGGAGGGAGGGGGAGGGAAGGGGAAGAGAGGGTGTGTGTGTGGGGAGAGAGAGAGAGAGAGAGAGAGAGAGAGAGAGAGAGAGAGAGAGTGAAAGTAACTTCACTATATAATCCCCTCATCTATAAGACTCTCAATATGTACCCAAGAAATAATGTTATGCTAAGGATCCATGATAGAGTTTACCACAACCAATGAAATGAAAGTTTTAGTGTTTTTTTCACTAGTATTCTCTTCTTGAAAATAATTCTTTTTAGAACCTACTTTACTATTTATAAACCACTTTATTATGGAATAATTATGAATCTTAAAAACCTAGCCAAACTACACAATCTAATAGTATGCACCTCTAAATAACTTATCACTTTGCGAGGTCTACATTCATAAACTTCCTTTGCATTTTTGTTTAATATAGCATTAAGGATTTCTTTTAAATCCATTACGCCATAGAATGGGAGGCAATCAGCCATTCCTTCTATTTCCAAGTAGTTTTCAGTAATGGAAGCTCCTGAAAGAAAAAAATAAAAACACATATAGACATAGTTAGGTTAGTTTAGTTAAAATTATGTTCCAGAACAAGTCCATTAAAAACAAAATCACTGCTAGAACATTTAGTGAACATTCATCAGGATTTAATATAGTCAGGAAAAAGTTTGTTCCTTAGTTGAAAAACAAATAGTAATTTCCCATAGGATTTCACATTAAGTCATAACTGCTCATTGACACCACATGTGCTTTATATAATTTAATCTCAGATACTGCTGGTCTGCTTCTTACATCTGCTTAGAATATTTTTTACTTCAAAGAGAAAATGAAGTCCCATGATATTTATTAAAATAAAAATGAGTTAAGTGTTTTAGCAAGTGCTGTCCTTCAAGTTCTACCCTATTCTTCTAATACCTAATTTAAAGATCTGAGTTATTTTTGTGATTATTTAAACTTACAAGTTATAAAATAGGCACACAATAACTTATTAATATAGAATTAATTTGAGGAAATGGAATGCTAACATTTTTAAATTTTGTATTTATTTTTTGGCAGTACTGGGGTTTGAACTCAGGCCTCATGCTTACTAGGCAGGCACTCTACCAGTTGAGACTCCACCAGCCCTTTTATTTGTGTTGGTATTTTCAAGATAGGGTCTTGCAAACTATTTGCCAGGGCTGGCCTTAAATTGCAATCCTCCTGGTCTCTGCCTCCTGAGTAGCTAAGATTATAAGCATGAGCCACCAGTGCTCAGTTGCAATACTAATATTTATTTGAAAAATTTTATTAGGACAATGCTTACAGCTGACTCGTTCTCTATTAAGCTATTTTAGACAACTTAGTCATTAACACTAAAATTCACATGACTAGATGTATAATTAGATAATCCATAACAGCACATATTCCACAGTATTAAATTTAGCTTTAGAATACATGATATTGGGAGATTGCAGAGACTGGTCTATATTGGCCTGTATTTCTGTACCAGTATTCTTAATATTGAAATCCAGATCATGCTACCAAGAAGAAAAGAAGAGTCCAATTTTTGATTAGTAACTATCAATGAATTAAAAAAAAAAAAAAGAACTGCAATGTAAGTTGAAAAGTTTCAGATCCTGAGACCTCAAGATAGAGATCAGATGGAGATTAGACTCTCCAACCTGTTCTCAGTCACTGACTGTTTTTTAACCTGGATGGCAGATACAATGGCGGTAGACTAAACAAAGCAGGTATTCCAGTGTTTTCCCCAGGAAAAAATTGGAAAATAGTATAAGATTATGTATCATCAAGCATTAAAGGATAAGACACAGAGTTTGAAAAAGGGAGACTAAGTAGTTGGAGCAGCAAGAGGAACTTAAATGGGACCAGAAACTATATAAATAGGAAGCAGCAGAATATTCTGATTTACATCTCTTTTACATATTTCTGTAGATATGAAAATATCCAAAGTCAGGCATTGTGACACATGCCTATAATCCCAGCACTCAGGAGACCGCGGCAGGAGGAACTCAAGTTTGAGGCCAGCCTGGGCCTACACAGTGAGACCCTGTCTCAAAACAAACAAAAAGAAACTGACAAAACAAAAAGTCAAAAAATATCCATCCAAAAGATTTTTCATTATTTCTAGTTCTATACATTTTATAATATGATTAGATTGAAAGCCTAATACTAACTACATCTGCCTTGAACAATTATACACATTTCACAGAATTGCTTGTGGATATGGACAAAAAATATTTAGCAACAAATGAGGAAATTGAGCAATATTTTAATTTCTCTATTTGCAAAATCAGATATGGAAAATTTAAAGGCATTTGAAACTCTGCAACAATCAACAGTCAAGTTTCTAGGACTAAAGGTGCAGCTTAAGTGGTAGAGTGCTCTCTTAGCAAGCACAATACCCTGAGTTCAAACCTCGATACTGCCATAAAAAAAGTTTCCATAAAATTCTGTGAAATGCATTCTAATTTTCACAGAAAATGAGTAAATAGTTTGATAAGTTTTTGCTTTGTTAAAAAATGGAATTCTTATCATAATGTATTGATGCATTACAGAAAAGCCATTCTTGTCAATAAGCAAAGCTTTTAGGGTCACATTAAGAATCCTCTTTTTCAAAACCAGGTATATCTTTCTCTCTTTCAAGTTCTTTTATCCTTATCTGAATATTTTTTTGACAACTAGCAAAATGTTGATTCAGAGTTAGTGCAAGAAAATGTTCACTTGCTAGGCACTGGTGGCTCATGCCTGCAATTCTTGTTACTCAGGAGGTGTAGATAAGGAAGATCGCAGTTTGAAGCCAGCCCAGGCAAATAGTTCATGAGACCCTATCTCAAAAAAATCCATTGCAGACAAGTGCTGGTGGAGTGGCTCAAGGTGTAGACCCTGAGTTCAAACCCCAGTATTGAAACAAACAAAAAACAAAAAACCACTAAATTAGGAAGAAGTAATCCTTAAACACAACTTAATAAAAAAATAGGAGAAAAAGACAAATGAAATGAAGAAAGCATGAGTGTCTCTGACTTGATCTGTTACTGATGAGGGAAAAATTCTGGTGATAATGTACGTAAAGCTAATTTCAATCAAATCAAGTCAGATTAGAGATGACTGTCTTAATCATTTTTACACCTTTGGTGCCATGTAAAGCACCTGATATTCAATAGGATTTAAAAAACACTATCAGTAAGGTAAGAACTAAAAGCAACTGTCAGAGAGGAACCTTCTGGGTAGCTCAAAAATAAACATGCTCTCAGAGCTGATAGGACAGCTATCCCAATTGTTAAAAAAAACCAAAACCCCCCAAAACTGCCTTGATAACATCTTTCATGGGAAAAAAAAAAAAAGATACTTGTCATCAATGCCACATAGCTAACTAGAAAAACAGATTAAGAATAAAATACCATCACGCACCTTGTTTCCTATATCAAATTAAAAGATTCCAGGGGCCCTGAGGAAGAGAATTCTAGAACTACAAGAAATGAATGCAGGTCAAGTCCTAAGGAGGTGCTGGAGGATGGGAAGAAGAGGATGTTTGCCATTGACCAGAACTATGCTCACTGATGTATGTTATCTCAGTTAGTGCTCCCAATTACTTTGTGAAGTTAATAATCCCAATTTTAATAAGAATTCCACATATAACAAATTAGTTAAGGGTTAGGGTCTAAAGGAAGATTGGGTTCAAATTCTTGTTCTACCACTGTGTCCTCTTGACAAACATCCCCATGCTTAGTTTTCCACCTGTAAAAAGGATACAGTAATAAAACTCACTTCACAAACTATTAGGAAGATTAAAAGAATTAATAATAATACAACTCTTAGAACAGTGTTCTGTATATAATAGTTATTTATAGTTGTTGATGAGGAAACAATGAAACTAACTGACTTTTCCCCAAACACATTGTTTTTTAAGTGGAAGAGTTGGGATTTGGATAGTCAACCTGCACCCCAAATCTAAATAACTAGTTAGGATATAACTAACTAGTTAGGAAATAACTGAGGTAGGAAGGAAGAAGTTTAGGATGGGCATTTTTTAAACTGCAAAAATCAGGTGAAATTACTTGAAGTTTGGAACATCAGAATATTTTCTACAGATATACCCTGTTACATGCTTTTGTACATTGTTGTTACTTATATTTTATCTAAAAAAAAAAAATTCCCTTAAAAATCTTTTTCTACATTTTGGGTATGACAAGTTTAGAGGCAGGAAGGTAGATGAAGTCATTCCTCATGGTGCCTTGTGCCATTTGATACCAGATGAAGAGGAACAGGACAGGTCAGCCTAAGAACCTAGGGCAGAGGCAGTTTAGTATGGAAACTATAAAAGAACAGAGAAGGAATAAGCAAGCAATACTGAATTCTCCTAAGACACATACACTTCACCCAATGAATCTCCATCTTAAGCAAAGAGGGTTATCAGTCTTTTAGTAAGGCCATGGAATCATTTCATTCACTCTCCAAATAGTGGATATTTATTTGGCAAAATAAGTAAATACTTTTTAAAAAGGGCAATAACCATTATTAGGCTATCCATTCTTTCTTACTCTTTCCCCTCCCCATTCTTCTTTCCTCCACTCCCTCCCTACCTTCCTAATCTCCCTCCCTTCCTTTCTTTTGGTGGTAGTGGGGTTGAGCTCAGGGCCCTGTGCTTGCTAAGCAGATGCTCTACCATTTAAGCCACTCTGCCACCCCTTACTATAGTGGTTATTTTTCTTGAGATAAGGTCTCGCTTATGCTCAGGCTGGCCTGGACCACAATTCTCCTAATTCTACTTCCCCATGTAGCTGGGTGCATGTCAATGCACTTAAGCCATTGGTTGAGATGGGAGATGGGTGGGTCTCATGAGCATTTAGCCAGGGCTGGTCATGAACCACTATTCTCCTGATCTCTGCCCCCCAAGTAGCTAGGATGTATAGGTTTGAGTCAGGGTGCTAGGCCTACATACTTCACTACCATACCTGGTATCAATTTTATCTTGAAGCCATTTGCTGTAAGACGAGGATCAGACAGGTAAATTGATCCACTGTATCTTTGGTCATCTGTTGTCATTTTATATAAAGCCTCTAAATAATGAGATCCATTAAAAAGACTGAAAAAGAAATTATAATATTTTAAGTTATTAAATATGCAGATTGAAATATAAGAATTTATGGAAAAAAGTTAATCCATTCTTTTAAAAAATGCTACCACTAACCAAAATACAAAGGTATAAGTAGCCCTGTTTCTGTTAATATTTTATAGAAGACCTACTACACTGTACAGAAAGATCAGAATAAAAAACAATTTCTATCTTCTAGAATGTTACAAACTCAATGTAAATTTTTAAAAACTGGTTCTCTAACATAATACAAATGAAAACTACTTACAAATAATACCCTTTTAACAGACCCAACAAATTTTAAAGAATGATAAAACATACATTATATTGTCAAGTTACTCAAGGCTTTTCAATAACAAAAGATTAAATACACATTTTTTTCTCCCAAGAACTTACAAATTTATCAATTCAAAGCCTGGGAGAGCTTCTTTCAGTCTACTGTAAGATGGCATATGAAATGATTCGGAGTGGTGTAGGCTCTAAACAAAATTCTGAGGAAGCCAAAAATTATCTAGGGTACAAACTGACCTCTCACACTGGTTTTAGACTTGGTCAGGGTACCTTTTAATATTCACTGCAAAAAGGTGACATATGAGTGGTGATCCTTTTCCCATTCATCCAATGTGTATTTCAGTGCCTACCTTGTGAGAGATAGTCTTAGGTTCACAAGCACAGTCCAGGATGATGTGCTGTTCCGTTATAACCCTCTACCTCTTGAAAAAGCAAATGGAGTTATGTCTTTCTTATCAGTTCTGAGTGGCTAAAGACTCCACTGATCTTGAGAACATGTTTCACAGAGAGGAGAGTTATCAGATGTACTCTGTCTCATCTAATTCTCAAAAACCAAACACAGAGCTGGTGGTAATGATAATTATACAGTATATAAATTAATATTACAGGCTACAGTTAAACAGTCTGGATTGAAATCTTGGATCCACTGCTTATTTACTAACTGTGTAAGCCTAGGCAAGTTATTTAGCTGTCTTGTGGTGTTTCAGTTTCCTTATCTATAAAATATGGATGATGGTACCTACTTCAGGAAGTTGCTGCCAAGATAAGACTGTGAAAGGACAGGCAAGGTTTCTGTCATACAGTAAGTGCCCAGTATCAGCCACTTATTGTTCTTGTGAGGACCACTTACTATTTTATTGATATCTAAATTGCTCTACTAAGAGGTAAGCTACACAACTAGCATTAGAAATCTGGTGAGAAAACTGAACCCAATCCATAATTACCCTGCCAACATTGTGGGATAACTGGTCTAATGCTCAGTTTTGAAAAACTTGTAGCATTAACTGTGAAGGGGAATGCCACATTTCAGAAGGGGGGAAATAATTTTGAATTATGTTTTGTTACTGTCAGTGATCAGTCAAGAAAGATTTTCTTTCAGGAGAGTACGGCCAAAGTAATAGTTTTTAATGTATTTCTTTTTGAATAATGACATCACACAGAAAAATGTTTTTAAAAAGCTATTTTGGACATGCAAAAAAAGATCTTTGAAATCTAAGTGAAAATTTATGAACACCATTCAGAAACAGCCCTGGCTGTTTTTGAGAGAACATACAGAAAAAAAAAATATCCGGCTTTTGAACTGTTTTCTAATTCTTCATATGACAGTTTCCTATGCCAATTTTAAGAAAATACTATGAAAGATACTGGATTTTAGTTAATGTGGTTACTAAACAGATGTTTTCCTGTGTTTTGGCCCTATCTCCCCCCTTCCCATGGCAGTGTTTTAACAAAGGTTTTAACACATTTTATAAAGGATTTCTGTTTTAAATTTAATGGTTCTATTAAATAATATGTCTTAGTGAACAAATTCTATTTTTTAAAATTTCAGATTTTTATCTCCTTGATCATGAGTCTTTTTTACCTGTGTCAGACTGAAAAAAGTATTAAAAACAAAAAAGAAATGTTAACAGGTCAGTTACTGCTTGTTCATTTGTAGAGAAAACAATTTTCTCATATAGGATATAAAAAGGAAACAGCCCATTTTACAACCAAAGATAAAATTAGTTCAGGAAGCAACTATCAATGGATGAAACCACTGATTGGGTGGGGGCAGGGAGGGGGCTAAAAAAGAAAAAAAAGGAAGGCTGGTGGGAAGCTCTAAGGTAGAAGATCAGGCTATCATCCTCTGCACTCAGTGATAAGTAACCTCACCCCACCCCCACTTTGGTAGTACTTGGGTTCTAATTCAGGGCGTTGTGTTTGCTAGGCAGGTACTCTCCCTAACACTTGAGCCATACCTCCAGCATGATCAGTGTGTTTTCATGCAATGAAATATAAAGCACAGAGCTCCACCTATCAAGATGTCATACCAGAAAGTAGAATCCAAATCTACTGTATCTTTCTGAGATAACTTCCAATTAAATATAGTGGGTGAGAAAACAAAAAAATCAAACACTACCAAAGAGAAGAAAGAGACAAGAGAATATTCCACTACATAAGTGACTTAGTATCTGTAAGAAGTAATGGTATGCTATTAAGAGACATAACCAAATGTTGTATATGGAATTTGTAGATACAAATGAGATTAAGAGTATGAAAACAGACATTCTGAGATGATGAGGAACAATTCCAAGGAACTACTATATAAAGTATGAAAAATCCATTTGTGGTTAGGTAAGAAAATGGTCATTTTTGAGAAAGGTATACTGAAGGATGTAAGAATAGGAATTGTCTGATGTACTTTCAGGAAAGAAAATGCTTGTGTATACACACAGACACACATACACACACAAGAACAGATAAAGAAAATGTTGTAAAACCCTGATAACTGTTAACAAAAGCATTTTCTGTATACTTCTGCTGTGGTGTATGTTTGAAAATGTTAAAACTGCAATATTAAAGGGAATCATTCACAGCAACCTAATTTCAAAATTATCTTAAAGTCACTAATGACAGGAGAAATGAGCTTGATATTTATTAAATGTGGAAGAGAACCACCTAGAATACTCTGAAGTTATTTATAAGCAATTAATTCCATTAAAGTTTAGGAATAAATTTTTAAAATAGTTCTTTAAATATCACTTACCCTACTAGAAAACAACATTCAACTTTTGGCCTTCAAATTATTATGAATAATATCCTTAAGAGTTAAATTATTACTTCATCATACCTTTCTGTTAATATAATTGGCTTTTCCAGTGGCTCAGCAGGGAGTTTATGGTTCTCAAGAAGTCTCTTAAAGAGCAGGGCTTCTTCTACTCTATATGGATTTAGTAACATTACCTCTGTTTTGGATGTAATTAGCCATGCATCAGGAAACCTAAGATTATGAACCAAACAAAGTTCATTCTTATCTTGTAAGTCCAATTTCTTTTGTTTATCAAAATTTATCTTTAAGTTTTCCATAGAAAACGGGATCTCTACTGTTTTAATATTTTTGCTTCTTTTTTTTTCAGTTTGGGACTGAAAGAGCTCATCAAGTTTTGGCTGATTAGATAATGAGGTTTTCAACTTGTGTTTCTGCACCAAACTCCATGTGCTGGTAGGTTTTATCTTTTTCCTGTCATCTTTCAATGATTTTTGTGACTCCTGTTCAATGGCTTTCTTCATTTGAGTATTGTATCGTTCCAAATCTTTAGTAGCCTTTTCTTCATATCTAGGAATGGAGGTAAAACAGAAAGATAATGTGAGTGATGGCCATTCCAAAGTGACTAAGATGTCATAGTTAACAAAGATCATAATCAAAAATATATTAATCATCTGAAGTAAATTTATAAAAAATAAAGAACTGGCATTCCAGTTTCAATAATGACAAAGAAATGCATATTTGGCTAACCCTCCTGTGTATAATTATTCTGAGCAACATATAAAAATCAACAATGTCACCGAAGAGCAGTTGAAAGCAACTTAAAATAGGAATAGATTCACATTTATATATTTTTCCAGCTGTGACCCAGAGGACTGCCCCAGCATTAAAGGAGCGAGGAGTGGCAAGAACTCAGTCAGAAAAGCTGCACTCTTACCAGCCTGAGTCATCAGAACACACAGCTACTTGCTTCTAGAACAATTTGAAACTGAGAGAGAAAATCCCAGAAAATCCCATGTGTGGGCGCCTAGAGGAAATCAACCATTAAAAGACTAAATGAGCTGAACAGAGATTTCCGTCACTACCCAGTACAGGGGAAAGAGTTTGGAGTTTCAGTTACACATGGTGTTATGGCTTGGTAAACAACGTGAGCTTTCAATTAAAACTGGAGGAGAGCCATGAACGAGGTAAAAAAAAAAACAAACCCTATGTCCTAGAACTAATAAAGTTGCCCTAGGACTAAGGGCAAAATCCTAAAGTCTCTCCCTAACAAAATGTAAAATAAAGCCCCACAACCTCAAGATGATCTATAATTTAACTATCTGGTAGAATGAAAATCAACACTTTTCAGAAGAAGAAAACAGAATCCAGAGTTTTAAGCATATTACTCACAATGCCTATTATATAACTAAAAGTTACAATTCAAGAACAAAACAAAAAATGTGAATAATGGTCAAGAGAAAAAGTGGTCAGGAGAAGCCAATTTCAAGATGACTAAGATGATATAATTAGCAAAAACAGAAATTTAAAAATAAATGTTTAAGGACTTAGGATGACCATAATAGAAGGGGAAATAGAAAGAACAGAAGGAGTAATCTCAACAGAGAAGTGGAAATTATAAAGCAACAGCAACTAAAATAAAACAACTGAAACAGAAATTCTAGGAAAAAACCAGTATATGGAATGAAATACTCACTGGGTAGGCTTAATAAATCAGAGATGGTAAAACAAACAAACAACCAGTGACCCTCTAGACAGAACAGAAGTGATCCAATGTGAACAACAGAAAGAAAAATTAAACACTTCAGTGACCTACATATTAATTGGAATCCTTAATAAAGAATAGAAATTTTGAAGGAAAAACAATTATGTAAAGCAATTCTGGCTAAGAACTAGCCAAACTGGAGAAATACAACAAATAGATACAAGAATATCAGTATATCCCAAGTAGGATAAATGCAAAGTCATCCAGTTAGATGCATTAGAATCAAATAGGTGCAAACTAAAGATTAAGACAAAATCCTAAAAGCAGTGAGAGAGGGCTGGAGGATGGTAGCTCAAAGAGTAGAACAAGCACTTGCCTAAGATATGTGAGGTCCTGGGTTCAATTCCCAGTACTAACAGCAATCAGAGAAAAATGAAAAAAAAAAAAAAAGATACAAAAAGGGAGAAAGGGTGAGAGGGAGGAGGTAGGGAGGGAGGGCAAATGTAGAGCCAGATGACAGTGAAATCTTTTATGTGGCAAAAAGAATTGAGAATTTGATTGTAACCAGCAAAATGTCCTTCAAAAAGAAGATTAAATAGACATTTTCAGGTAAAACGGTAAGAAATTTTTGTCAGAATCTTTGCACTATTAAGAAATGACACAGGGCTAGGAAGTCAGAAGAAACCATTCCAGTTATTTATGGTTTCCAAGTAGTATATGTTTTACTGTAGTTTGTGATTTTTCAGGTCATTTTGTGGAGCTACTGAACTCTTGAAAGTTCTAGCAACATACACCTAGATTTAGATATAACCTATCTTCATGAATGTTCTGATATATGGAAGGTAATTTTTAAATTTGTGTCTTCTGGTATTTTTCCATGTTTTTGAAACCATTATAGTTATTATTTTAGCTCTCTGGCACACTTGTCAACAAATTACTGCTCAATCCAAAAAAAAAAAAAACCCAAAAAACCAGAAATACCCATTTATGGGGCATAAATGTAATCATATTTATCAGGCTTTTACATTTTATGTGAGATAGTATATAACTAATGCTAACTAGATTATGGTAAATTGAGTGCATAAAGTACTCAGCAAAGCAAAAAATAATATAAAGTCAACAGAGGAATTAAAGATGCTAAAATATATTCATTTGACCTTAAAGCACCTTTCTTTCCTCCCCAAAAAAGAGTGGAACAAAACAGAAATGTGATACAGAAAATAGGAAAATGCCACACCTAAACTGACAGATATCAATTATTATGTTATATGGACAGAGTTAGTGAAGCTGATTTAAAAGTAAGTCAACTTTATTTGCCTACAAGAGTTATATTTTTATAATGATAAAGTGTAAAAGAAAGAAAAAAAGCATGGCTGGGCTCAGTTGCTCACACCTTAATCTCAGCTCCTAGAAAGGTGGAGCAAGGGCAACCTGGGGAAAATGTAGGGAGACCCCATCTCAATCAATAAGGTTGGCATAGTAAACTGTGCTTGTTGTAGGAATATTGCAGTGTGAGGCCAGCTCCAGCCAAAACGTGGACCCTACTGAAAAAGAACCAGGACAAGAAAGGGCTGAGGGCATGGTTCAAGTGGTAGAGAGCTTGCCTAAGCAGGAGGCCCTGAGTTCAAACCCATACCAAAAAAAAAAAGATATACTATGTAAATAGTAAACATAAGAAAGTCAGAGTGGGACTGTTACACAGGTTACTCCAGAGGCACCTGCACACCCATGTTTATTGCAGCACTATTCACAATAGCCAAGTTATGGAAACAGCCAAGATGTCCCACCACCGACCAATGGATTAAGAAAATGTGGTATCTATACACAATGGAATTTTATGCAGCCATGAAGAAGAACGAAATGTTATCATTCGCTGGTAAATGGATGGAATTGGAGAACATCATTCTGAGTGAGGTTAGCCTGGCCCAAAAGACCAAAAATCATATGTTCTCCCTCATATGTGGACATTAGATCAAGAGCAAACACAACAAGGGGATTGGACTTTGAGCACATGATAAAAGTGAGAGCACACAAGGGAGGGGTGAGGATAGGTAAGACACCTAAAAAATTAGCTAGCATTTGTTGCCCTTAACGCAGAGAAACTAAAGCAGATACCTTAAAGCAACTGAGGGCAATAGGAGAAGGGGACCAGGAACTAGAGAAAAGGTTAGATCAAAAAGAATTAACCTAGAAAGTAACACACATGCACAGGAAATTAATGTGATTCAACTCCCTGTATAGCTATCCTTATCTCAACCAGCAAAAACCCTTGTTCCTTCCTATTATTGCTTATACTCTCTCTACAACAAAATTAGAAATAAGGGCAAAATAGTTTCTGCTGGGTATTGAGGGGGTGGGGGGGAGAGGGAGGGGGCGGAGTGGGTGGTAAGGGAGGGGGTGGGGGCAGGGGGGAGAAATGACCCAAGCCTTGTATGCACATATGAATAATAAAATAAAATAAAAAAAAAAGAAAGTCAGAGTGGCTAAAGCCACTTTCAAGAAGTAAACCTGTAAGATATTAAGGGGCCATTCAAAAAATATAATAATCATTACCGTGTATGCGCTAATAACACAGCCTTGAATTATATGTTGTTAAAACAAGACCTGAAAGTAGAAATAAATCCAGAATCACAGTTGGAGACATTAATACCCCCTCCCTCAGTAATTGGCAGAACTAGACCCAAAAAAGGTGCCACTAAAGCTACAGATTTTAGCAATACTATCAAATGCTTCAACTTAATTGACATTTTAGAACACTAACAACTGCAGAATCTAGATTTTTTTAAACAGAACACAGAACATTAAGACAGACCATACAGTGAGCCTAAAGTTTCTCAATACTTCCAAAAGACTGAAATCTAACTAATTTTCTGTGTTCATGTTAAATTGGAAAAAAAATCAGGCAAAACCTCAAGTATTTGGAAACTAAACACAATTTTATTCTTAATATCCCCAAACTAGAAACAACCCAAAGGCCCATCAATAGGACTGAATGAACAAATTTTGAAATACTTATAAAACCCAGTATTACTCAATTCAAGAAAGTGAATCACAAAAATATTTTGTGAGGGGAATAAGTCAGATACATCATATAATTTTACACATATGAAGTTCAAATACTAGTAAAAACTAACCTAGTGTAATAGAAATCAAAACAGTGGTGGTCTATGGAAATTGGCGAGAGTGGCAGGAGCAACTGTTTTTGGAATGACGGAGATGCTCCATCTTTTATTGGGGGTGGTATTTATATGGGTTACATATTTATAAAAATGCACTGAACTATCCAGTTAAGATGTCTGCATTTCACTTAGGTAAATTTTATCCAATTTAAAATGATTTAAGCAAGTATTAGGGCACAGATACTCAAAAAGAAAAATAAATAAGGAAATGATTAAATAGTCAATTCCAGATCTGAAGAGTTTCTTATATATTTGCTGTAACATTAATATGGAATAAACATTCTCTGAACATTACAAAGGAAAATCTGCATACATTAATACTCCACTTAGTGGATACTAGTAAAATTATAAAGTCACAAAAATAGCACACAAAGTAAAAACATATACATTAAGTTTATAAAGGTTTCACAGCTAAATGTTAATTTTTCATTATAATTTTTATTTTAGTGTCATCAGTGAAAAAATAAGTTCCAATAAACTACACTTATCAAAACCACTTAATTTCATTCAATTTCAAAGGTGTAAGACAACGGACATTTCAAAATTATACTGGGTAAAAAGTTATTAGGTCTTTTCTTGCCAGTAACAAAAGGAGTAAAATGAAACTTCAAAGAGCCAAAGACAGTCTAGCACAGAGGTAAAAAACTGAGATACCTGGGTCCGATTCTCAGGCCTAAGCTGAGGATAGGGAGCTGTATTTTTAAAGAGCTCCACAGGTGATTCTGGTACATAACCAGAACTGGAACTATGGCTCTGTGATCCATAGTTCAAAGTCCAGATTCTGGAGCCTGGCCTGGTTCTGCCACTAAGTAGCTGGGTAAGTAATTTTTCTGTGCCTCAGTATGCTCATAGTAAATAATCATAATAAGTCTACTGTTATTATTTTCTATCAAGAAACACCAATCTAGGACTGGGGATATACTCAGTGGTAGATTGCATACTTAGAATGCACAAGGTTCTAAGTAAAAGAAAAGAAAGAAGTACACATCCTGTAATGAATGAGTCATTTGACTAAAGGTTGCAATTAAATAACTGGTAAAATTGTTTTAACTAAGTTTTAAACTTGGGACTAGAGAAATTAAGGTTATTTTTAGTCTCCTGCTATTAAGAAACTGGCTGAATTCTATTAGAAGTAATAAGCACATAACATTTTAAAGAAAAAACGTGGATATGTTAAGGAAATAAAAGTGTTATTACAACAAAGTTGCCATATTGGCTACACAGTTCATCACATCTTTCCTACACAAGGTCACAGCTTTCTCAGAAATCTGAGAAAGAAAATGCTTGTTTGCTTAGCAAATGACTAGATGTTGAGATATTTATGAAAAACTCCAAGGTGCAAGTCAAAAGACTATTGTCCTATTCTCTCAGTTTGTAATTCATGAAAATACTTTTATATTTTAATAGCTATTGGGAGAACTGTTAATGAACGTTAAACATGAGACTAAGAGAGAAGATACCACAACCTAGCATGCAGTTTGTACTCAGTGTATATTTGTTGAATGAAGAAATGTTAGCAGAATAAGAATGGGAAAAAAACCTTTTTTGGGCCAGGCATGGTGGTGGTTCATGCCTATAATCACAGCTGTAAGGTAGGCATAGGTATAATTGTGGTCCAGGATGGTCCGGGCAAAAACACGAGACCCTATTTGAAAAAGTAGCTAAAGCAAATAGAGCTGATGTTGTAGCTCAAGTGGTAGAGCCCTTGCCTAGTAAGCAAGGAGCCCTAAGTTCAAACCCCAGCACTGCCAAAAAGAAACACTAAAATGAAAAATGACTCTTTTTGGTTACTTATTATGCAAAGTTCATACTTTTTAAGGTTATTTTCTCACTTAGATTATCAAGTTCTTGATTAGTTATATAAAACACATGATTTTCAATAGTTTACTTTCAAAGGTACTAAAGTAAGTATTTTTAGCTCTGATATTCAAAATTCAAGATTTTTCCTGTGTGGTGGAAAATGAGTTCAAGACAAAGGTCACCATTGTAATTAATTATAATGTGCAAATTTTCAAATATGGTACTAATCTTTTGACTTTTTCAAGAAGTCAATTTAAGTAGGTCCTTGGGAAATATAAAAAGTTCTGTCCAAAAGAATATTAGGCAAATGTTAAGTAAAAACAGCTGTTACCTTTGTATTTAATGTCATTAAAGAATTTAGCAACTTGAATGCAAAATACTTATACTGATTTTACCGGCAGGCAATGATGTTTTGAGATTAAAGATTATATTTAATTATAATGTTGACTTTTCATTTCCAGTAACACTCCAATTCCAATAATACTCCTAGTTATAGTAGAAATATATTTATAGCTACTGCAAATGAAAGTGCAAATTAACACCAATCAACTGAGACCTCCTGAGGCATGGCACATGTAGATATAGATTATTCTAATCCACTAGAGAAAAGAAGAGGAAGATGGGGGGAGAGATGTCCAGAAAATTACTAAAAAATGAGAGATAATATCCCTTACCTCAAAGCCAGACCCTTTCATGATCTGCACCCCACCTTTTTTGCCATACTCCTTCATATTCTCTTCCTGTCATGGAGGGGAATTTTTAATTTCTCTATGAACACCGCAATCCTTATGCCCTAAAACTATTCTGGTTAATTTCTATTAATGGAAGCAATTTTCTGTCCAACATGCGAGAAGCATTTTCATAACTCCATATATTTCCTTACCTTAAAACTTACCATTCTATGATTATTACATATTAAATTGACTCTTCCTTCTTCACCAGACTTATCATTCATGAATAGGGTAAGTATGTTTTATTTATAACTGAAGTGACTACATGGAATACATAGGGCCTTGTGGACATAAAGCCTTCAATAAATATTTAACTGAAGGAAGGGAGTGGAAAGCAGGAAGGGAAAGAGGGAAGAAGACAAAGAAAAATATGAATAGAGAAGAAGTGAAGAAAAGGAAAGAGGGACTGAAGAATGGTAGAAAAGAAGTCTACACTCATATCCCTTAATATTTATGGTAGAATTGAGGGTCATAGAAAGAATTTTAAGGTAAAAATTGGAAGAGAAGTAGTGACTAGTGTGCTTCCTAGGTATAGAATCATTTTTGCTCTACCTTGTCATAAATCATGATTTTGGACTCAGCTGATCATGGTCAAAGGAGCCTTGACTCTAAAATAGCATTTTGTGAAATAAAATTAGACCTCTCATTCTAAGACACATATGTTTTCTTATCTGATTTCTATTTCTGGAGTCCAAAGTGAAATAAATCTTGACTCAGAGCAATGAAAAATGTCATTCACAATAGAGTAATTGCTTTTTACAGATTAAAAACTCTGATTATATTAACACAGTCAGAAGTCGTAGGTCTTGTGTTGGAACACTCAACATCTTACTTAATCCTCCCAATAATCAATGATCTCTTGACCCCACTGACTCACTTGTGTACCTGAGGGCAATCTGACACCTTGAGAACTATGGGAGAAACTGTTGCAAGGCTGCAAGGAATGGCCAGAAGAATACACTTCCATCTTAAGGTGTTACACTCTCCTTACTTTAATAAGAACTGGAAATATCTATGTTTTTTTTCTGTTTTCAGACAAGTGTCAACTAATTATCTCTGTGGGCAATGCAGAGAAGTGTCAACTGATTACCTCTGTGGCATGCAGTTCAACTTTAATGGGATTAGTGTATTTAAAAGTTAAGTCTATTCCTTTCTTTTTTCCTTTTTAACTGATACGTAACAATTGTACATAGTTATGGGGTACCATTTGGTGTTTCAATAAAGTTCACTCATTTTTAAACTGCACAACTTTCTTACTCAAATAAAAGTATAGGCAATTATAATTTTGAATCTTTATGTGCAAGATGATTCAAAAGGAACTTCTAAAAATCTGACATATATGAAATTAGAAACTTGAACATTGGAAATATTTGATGTATTAAGAAAGCCATGCTTTTTAAAAGTTCTGACAAGTGTAGTATGGTTATGTTTAAAACAGAAAAATCTTTATAGCTTAGGGATACATACTGAAATACTATGGAATTAATGATATGCCTAAGATTTGCTTCAGGAAAATAAAGGAAGAATGATGGAAAGTGGGTGTAGGTGTGCATGAAGCAGGACTGACCATGAGGTGACAGTCAGTGAAATGGGGTAATGGGTTTATTGTACTGGTACATTTATTTGATGTATGTTTAAAAAAAGAATAAAACTCAACAATCATCTACCCTTAAAAAAAACCTGATGAGAGAAGTTAATTTATGAAGTCTTTCCATTTAGGTATTAATAGTGATCTTTATTATTTTAAATTGATAGTAAATTTTAAAAATTGGTTAAGCATTTATATTGCTTATCATAAAACATAAACTCTGGATGATGGATCACATTAAAAAATTTCCAGGTATTTGGCACAGTATTGAGCCACTTTAGGTAACAATACATAACTGGAGGACTTTCTGGTTGGCTAGATTACTCAAAGCATATTTTATGTTTATATAGTGTTCTAAGCCAATGAGAAACACCCATTACAGCCGCTATGCTTTGTAGCACATACCTAACATCCCAGCCACTTGGAAAGTAGATGTAAGAATATCATGGTTCAAGGTAAGCCCAGGGAAAACTGGCACAAGACCCTATCTGAAAAACAAACTAAGAGCAGAAGGACTAGATTCGAGTAATGTTTTAATCAGAGATCAAACCATCTATTCACATACCAAAAATACCCACTATAGTTTATAAGTTGCCAACAAATAAGTAATTTTTAGGGGCTGTTATACTGAATAGAGACAGGTATTAATAACACTAAAGTGACTATGCAACAATGGCACAATTCTTTGTATAGTGTTACACATTTTGCAGGCCAATTTTATAAAGGGAATAGTCAAGATACAAAAAAACACCAATTTTTAAAAAATTGCTCTAACATGAAATCTTATAGAAATTATTTAATTTTATGTTTGAATCATCATACATTAATAATGCAAGGTGATTTCACTGTGATAATTCCTTACACGTGTACAACGTACTTGGAATGCAAAAATCTCAAAAAAAGGTACTGCAATAGAAAAGTTCTTCAACATATATCAAAAAAGAAACCGAACAGTAGCTTTAAATTGAGAAGAATGGAAAACCTTTTAACAACAAACTTAATAACTGAGAAAGCAGTTAAAGCTTGCACCAAACAAGCAAAAGAGAACAATCCTTTCCAAAATAAAAAAAGCAAAACAGCACCCCCCCAAAAAAAACCCCTCTAAATAAACAACAAAAAATTTGACACCAATAAAGATACTTTAGCTAAGCCAACAGGCACTTTCCATTCTGCTTTTCCATAAATATGAAGTTAAAAAAATGTAAACGTGTGAGTATAGAACAGAAATCACTGAACATTCAAGTCACATGCAAGCTCTGGAAACTTACTTCAGCTTTTTCTCTTCACTCAATGTCTTCCACAGTTCTTCAATTTGTCCTGTTGCATCCTCCAAACTAGTCTTAGGATTTTCTGCGAGAAACTGAGCACGATGATCTTGGATAAAAAGGGCACTTGCTGACAAGGGTTTCTTGATTATTCGACTGCTAATTAAATCATAGGCTGTAAGCTGTCCTGATTTGTTATCTATTACATTTGATTTTTTACTACAAAAACCACCACTGAGATTCTTTTGCTCAAGGCCTGGATGGTTGTTATTACTAACTTTGCATGCTAAACCTTTTTGAGGCACTACAATTTTCACAGGTTCAGCACTCTCTCCCACTGAATTAAGTACATCTCCCTTGCTCCAGTCATCTGCACAAATTTCCAAAGACCTCTCAGAAGCCGCTTCTTCATTATTTCCCCCACCTTCATCTACGAGGCCTTTACTGACACTTTCTAATTCAGTATGCTTAGTAGAACCTACAAAACAAGTTTTACTATATTCACTCTGGGCACCGTCCCATGATAAATTATTCATTAGGATTGTGTCCTTATTAATGTTAGAATTTTCACTACTAAAATTATCATCACAATGGTCACTAATATTTATCTCGTAATTTAAATAGTGATTAATGTTATTTCTAGATTCATCATTATGTACAACATTTTGGGAAGGAATAGCTGCAGTATCAACATTTGGACAATTATTTCCAGATGATTCTATTTTATTAAAAAGCACATCTGTTTCTGCTGTTTTACTAACAACCATGTCAGCTGAGGAAACATCTGTTTCATTATTTTCATAAGAATTTGTACTAGGTAGTGGTCCATAACAAGTCGTCATCAGATTTTCAAGAGCAATTAAAACAGATTCCTAAAAATACAAATTAACAAATATTAGAGATTAGGAAAAAACACAAGATTTAAATAGCAAAAGAAAAACATAAACAAGCAAGTCTTTTATATCAAAATAGTTATGACTGCATAAGTTTATAAATAGCATAAATTAACAACAATTATCTGAAAAGAGTTACCTTATTCTGTAATAATACTTGACTTTTATCTGGTGTTAAATTTACATCCACATCAGCTGTAGGAACATCTATTTTCAGAAAGAAAATGGGATACAAACGAGTAGATTCCTTTAGACACTTCAGATTGTAATAATGTCGGATTAACTAGAAATATATGTAAAGAATAAAAGACAAAAGTACTATGTAAATAAAGATACTACTGACAACTTTAGAATACCACCAAAAAGAGCAAACTGAATTGAGAAACTGAGTAGACAATACTGCATATCCAGAAAAGCAGTATTTTAGTAGTAGTAACACTCCTTTGGAGGCCTTGAACCTACATGAATTACAAGCATTCACAGGAAATCCAAAGCATCCAATTCAATTGGATTCATGGTTAAAAATCAGTCACCGGATGCTTTGAAGACCTGGAGATCAAATCAAAACCCTGCTAACTTTCCCTAAGAAAGTTATTTAACATTGTTTCCTATCTGAAAATGGGGCTAATAATGCAATAGAGTTGTCATGAAGAGGTACTGAGACATCATGTATCAATATGCAGCTTAAAAATGATATTCTATCTGTTTATCACCTTCTTTTCTTTTATAGCAACTTCTTACAAGTGGTCCTTTGTAACAATTTGACAAATGACAGAGTTAGTTTTTAATTTCTGATCCAAGGGATACTTTTTTTCTAAAAGTGATTACCTTTAATACATCTTTTTGATGTACTGGTCGACTATTTATAAAGATGAAACTTCTCTCTGGTGTTGAAAGACTTGTGGAACTGCGGTCTGCATCTTGTTTTGGAAAAAATCCACTTAGATAAATCTATAATTATAATACATAGGTACAGAATATATAATGTCAGCAATGTCATCCCAAAGCTCTGGCTATATAAAACATACTAAAAGGTATAAAAAGTAAAGAACCAGACTTTGACTTAAGGTCTGAAGAAGCATATACCTTCTAATAACCATGTCTAGAGACTCAGACTTGAATAAACTGCTGAAGCATACAAAAAACAGTGTTCTCTGCCTCTCTTTTTATAACTCCAAAGAAAAACTGGCATTAATAAAATCTTCATAAATGGTCATAATTTTAAATATTTAACTGTCATAGGACAAACAGCATCTACTCTCTGATTAACCTTAACTTCTTCCTTTTTAAAAATGTGTTTCCTCACATTATGACTTTTCTCTGTTTGCCCTTTTCTCTTCAACCATCTTTTCCCATAAAGTGGTAGCTGTTTCTATCTTTACTCTCAGTATGCTAAAAAGCCAATCTTACTGGTTTTTCAATTTGTTTTAAAAAAATTCTTTTACTCATTTTTTTCTTTTTTGTGGTACTGGGGGTTGAACTCAGGGCCTTGCACTCCTAGGTAGGTGCTTTACTACTTGAGCTACTCCGCCAACCCTTTTTGCATTGGTTATTTTTGAGAGTTAGGGTCTTGCTTTATGCCCAGGCTGGCCTGGAGGCTGAGTCTCTTATCTGTGTTTCCCTGCATAGCTGGGATGACAGGTGCTTGACAGGCAAGTACCACCATGCCCAGCCACTGAATGAGATGGTGTCTCCCAAACTCCCCTTCACCACCCCAGGCTTAGCCTTGAATTGTGATCCTCTCCATTTATGTTTCCCTAATTGCCAGGATTATAGGCTTGAGTACAATACCTTCCTGAGGGCTAATTACTGATTGCATGTTCTACTTTATTTTTAAAAAAAGTTTTTGGCAGTACTAGGGTTTGAACTGAGGGGCTCATACTTGCCTTGTAAGTGAGCCATGTCCCCAGAATTTTATCTTCATTTTTGCTTAGAGAACTTCCTAGGAAGATTTTACTGATTACTTACATGCTATCTTTCTCTACTCTACAAATGAAGAGGAGAGAGAAAATGAAGGATACTAGAAAAGACAGAGAAGAGAAATTTAAAGAATGGAAGGCAGGAACATGTTCCTACTTACCTCTAGCTAATTAACACAGTTAAAAACAATATAGAGAATTCTTAAGAACACAGGCTAGAGCTAGACCATCAAAGTTTAAATCCCAGCTCCACTTCTAGCTATGTGATTTTGGTCAAATTACTTAGTATAGACCTATAATCTTATCTGAAACAACTGGAAATAAATGTGTTGTTAATCTGTTCAACACCAAGAGTAAAATTTTAGTTTAGGTTAAGGAAACAAAGTATATCAGTGAGGGTGCTATTTTTAGTTAAGCAGAAACCATGAGGTTGCTTACCAACATAGTCTTGTAGGCTGTCACCTATGTCTATGGCTATCCCTGCCCTTGGAAATAAGTGTTTAAGGAGATGCATTACCCATTTTAGAACACTAAGTGCATTATTGTCACAGTGCCAAATTGTGCCAATTTGAAAAAATACATTAATAAATCTGGATAATCCATTACAAAATGATACCACTTAATTAACTGTAAAACTTCACAGCATTTATAAATGGCTGTATAATTTACTAGGTAACATAAGACCCTTCTTAAAGCACCTGCTGGGCATCAGGGCATGTGTATTTAGACTCTGAGAGACTTACTGCATGTGTGAAAAGGAAAGAAAAGCAAAGGAGGAAGGGGGGAAGGAAAGGAAAAGGAAGAGACTCTCAGAGACTTACTTCATGTGTGAAAGGGAAAGAAAAGCAAAGGAGAAAGGGGGGAAGGAAAGGAAAAGGAAGGGAAGAAGTAAAAAAAAAAAGAAAAAAGGAAATATGCCCTCTGCTCTGAATAGAGTAAGAATGAAGAACAAAATGAAGAAAAATATGTAATCACTATTGATTTCCTTTCATACTACTGAACATTATTAAATCACTGTTTAACTATTATTTCCAGACATTGAGCTTTAGAAATTATTTAGGATAACCTTACCTAAACTATACTAAAGTTATATGGAAAGGTAAAACAGGGCTGACAGAATGACTCAAGTGGTAGAGCACCTGCCTAGCAAGTGTGAGACCATGAGTTCAAACCCCAGTGCCATCAAAAAAAAAAAGTGAAACAAGTCATATAAAGTGCTATAAAAATTAAAAATCAGGCTAGTTTATGAAAAAAAAGAACATAAAGAACAAATTAGTGCAACGAATGAAGAATTGGACAGAATTTATAAGATTCTGTATCTCAACCTATAAAGGAAAACAAAACCTGAAGGCAAAAATAAAATCAAATACCACTCCCTGATTGCTTCTCAACCACAGTCCTCTCTCTCCCTCTCCAACCTCACTGTAAGATGGCTTCTACTTCAGGAACCAACTCCAGTTCTCTGATTTGATTCTCTGTAGTCCCTAACACTAATGACAACTCTCCTTGGGAAGCATTCCACTGCATGAATCTCTTCCATTTTCTCTTTGGTCTTTCTGCTTCCTTTCTGACACTTCCTCCTCAGGCTGGTTTACTGGTTTCCCTCTTTTTTCTTATACCCTAAAAATGATAATGGTCCCTTGAATTCTAGGTCCTTCTCTCTTGTTCTCTAGTTACTCTGAATAATTTTATTCATATCTCTAATTTCAACAATTACCACCAATGATGCTAAGATTATCAATGCTATAGTCTATTTCTTTCACCCCCAATGCTTACTATCTTCAATTGGCTATCTCAAAAATAATCTTACCACATTCAAAACTTTGTGAACTATTTCATCCCACTGCTACTTTGCTGTCCAACTGCTAGCTAGCTCCTGCATTCTTTACCATGCTAAAGAGTTCTGCCATTTACATAGTCTATCAAACACATCTCTTCTTCTCTACCCTGATTACATTAATGTAACCCTCACTGATCTCCTAACTTCAATCTTTCTCCTCTTTCTATAAACCTCTGTAACACCATGGAGTTACAGTTCTAAAGCAACAATTTAAATACCCTCATCAGGATAATGAAACAAGTTCTTGTGGACATTCCCTTCTACCCCATTTCTACTGCAAACTAAGTAGCAGTGATAAAATCAATGTTTAAAATTATTTCAAAAGACCTAACTATATAAAATGGAAAAAGGTATTAAGGATATGAAATATGTAACAGGAAGTGAAGGCTAAAGGTAAAAACTCTATGTGTTCTGAGATCAGAAATAAGATGTGTCATTTGGAAATTAAATTCTGGCAAACACAGGATTGAAATCAGTCTTTCCATTTGAAACAGGGAGCTCAAATAGCACCTCCCCCCCGGGAAGGGGGGAAGATGTTGGGGAACAAACCCAAGAACCCACTTAAAACTACTGTGACCACTGTCTAGAGCTGCTTGCCAAGGTCACAGGAAAGAACAGAGACAACTCCAAAACCAAGAACAAGGCTGAGCCAAGCTGGCTAGAAAAAGGAGTCTGTAAAATCTTGGCAGGACAAGAGGCAGGAATTACGAACATAACACCTGATTTTGAACTGAGGCTAAGAGGTAGGTATGTGCCAAACTATGGGAAGGAAGAGGTAAGTGAAGAGAAGAAAAAAAACAGCAAAAACAAACTTGCATTCAAAATGATTTGCAAATTAAAATTTCAAAGCATATAAATAGCAGAAGCTGGAGGAGGCCCTGAGTTCAAACCTCAGTACTACTGCCACAAAAATAAAAATAAATAAATAAATAGCAGAGGATGAAATGATATTCTCTCAGGAAAGTAGAAACGATACAGCAATATGGAAAGGACTTGTGAAATAAGTATGTATAACAAGGTTTTTAAAGAATAAAGAAAAATAGCATCCATTTAAAAACAGAAGATAAATAAATTAACACTGACAGCTATAAATCAAGTTTAGAAAAGACAATTATGAAAATAAATTCTGGATTCTGAAAACAGATATAGTTTTGGGAATAAAACACAGGCAGTACTGAGGAATTCACTGAAAAGTCAGCAGGGTTAGTTAGTGGCAGAGTACTTGCCTAGCCCTGAGTTCACTCCCAGTACCAAGGAAAAAAGAGCTCAGTCAGGACAGCTAAGTCACAGATTCCTAACACAGCTACCACCGTAGTGGCTAAACTGAGACCACCACCAACAATAAAGAGATTCTTCCCAAGTGGGGTTTCTACAGACAAAAAGTGGACCCTTCACATAAAAGGGAGGAGATAGATAATGATTTCTCTATACCCAAGAATCCAAATGGCCAATGGGTCTGTCATCCCAGTCAAGAGACTTGGACTTGGTATACAAGTTTCACAACTCAGGATCTTTTTTACATAACACTCAAGTGTTATGCAAAAACACTTAAGTGGATTTTCTATTAACAATGCAAGAAAAGGAAAGAGAATCAGAGGCTGGGAGGAAAAAGACCTGACAAGTAAAATAAAATCTATCTTCTAAAAAATAATAATTATTTAAGGAGCAAATACTTTAAAAATAAAAACTTAACATATTTATAAAGATTCAAGATTTTGTATCCACACAGCAATAAAAAGTCATAAGAGTAATAAAATTAAAATGTTCTTGGAAATTAAACAACGATCAAAGCAAAAAGTTCAATAGAAGAATTAAAAAAGTGAAGTCTTCCACTCTCAGGAAAACTGGAGGAAAATAAGATCCTAATAAGTAATAAAGAGTCTCATTTTAAAAAAAGAGAAAAAATTGTAACGGCTAGGAATGAATCGAGTCTTCAAATTCAAAGCATTCATATTAAGTGCTCACCATAAATGAGACATACCTACAGTCTTGTAAAATTCAAGATTAAACATGCATAGGTTGGTTTCTCATGCCTATAATTCTAGCACTCAAAAGGATTTCGATTTTCAGGGAGCCAGGGCTATATCCATAGTGAGATCCCTGCCTCAAAAAATTTTTTTTTTAATTACAGTAAGTAAATAAATATCATTTAAAAGGAAGAACTGGCATGTATTAATCTTCCCATCATCAAGAATTGATGGTCAAAAATACCTATTGTCTTCAAAATTCTAAAAAAAAATTTTTTTCAATCAGGATTTCTATGTCTACAACACTATCAACAACAAAATAAAGTTGTTCTTAGACATGAAAATTTATCTCTTCTGTCTGTTTCTGTGGAAACTTTAAAGATGTATCTCAAAATAGAATGAGAATGAATACCAGGAAAACTTCAGATGCAAGAAATAACAGAACCAACCAGTGTTCTGATAAAAGAAATCTCAGAATAAGAGCTGTGCAGAAAACCTAAAATGCAATCAAGCCAAGCAAGAAGTGGGTTCTACGATGACTTCAAAAAAAGACAGAATGGTATGGATTACCAGCTATAGAATGAGTAAATGTTCAATTTTATTGCTAACTTGATGAAGAAAACGTCTTCACTTAAAAAAAAAAACTTTTTGGAAATAAACCTCAGAAAAGTCAAAAGTCTATACAAGATAGTCCATATGTAAAGGAAGGAAAATCATAGTAAATTTTGAGCATCTGATGGGAACACAAGAAAGGAGATTTTCTTTAATCGGGACAGGGGAACATTCTCATTTGTATGGCTTAAGAGAATCCAGGAACCTTTAAAGAAGAAATGCATTCCTAGCACTTTTAATGATTAATGTATACTCTATATACATTTTAAGCCTTTCAAATCAATTTTCAGACCAAAAATGAAAGGCTTAAAAAATAGCTAGAGAGCTGGGAGTGTAGCTCAGTCGTAGAGTTCTTACCTAGCCTGTGTAACATCCTGGAACGGGGGAGGGTTATGAAAATATGTTATTAAGTTTGAAAAAAAAAGTACTGCTGGCAAGAGTGAAAGAGAAAAGAACAAGAGAATAAATAAGTGAAAGAAGAGTATTATCCAGTAGTACAGGAAGGAAATTTGAGTGTATATTCAGGATGTGACAGAGAAATAAAGAATATGCAAGCTCAACTCTTTTTTTCATAGTATAAAAGAAGATGAGATTCTAAACTAAAACTTATTTTTTACAGTGAATTTTTTTTTTTGGCAGTACTGGAGTTTGAACTCATGGCCTCACACTTGCTAGGTAGGTGCTCTACCACTTGAGCCACTCCACCAGCCCCTAAAACTTTTTGAAAAAATCAATGTAAGCAACAGACAGAAAAGGTAAAAAGGAAAGCAGAGTTGGGAAACAGGATAGCTTTGTATGTATTTTCTTTTTTACCTTATAAACGTATTTGATAAAAATGCTGAATGAAAAATATTTTACCACCCCAGATGAGAAATTATTTTAACTTCATTAATAACTCAGAATTATTAAAGGACATTTTTCCTGCATACCTGAGATTCCTCAGAGTGGTACTGAAAGGATTCCATGTTGCCCATAACAGCAGTCCCCAGAACTGACATGAGAGCCATCTTGTGGTCTGATACTCTACTTTTTTGCCAAATAACTGCCTATGGACAAAATGATACAAACAAGTTTTAACACAATTTAGATTTATTAAACTCAAGAACTTACAGTATTTCTACATTTAGCATTCATCTTCACCTTGTATTTTCAACATCTTTTAGAAGACATTCATAAGCCATAATGTCTGAGAAAACAAACCCTGGCTCTGAATTTTAAACTATCCATGTTGCAGTACATCTAGTCAACTTCCCTTACCTCAGTATCCTCCTCCTTACAAGATGGCTAGTTCATTCTCAAGGTTGTTTGGGAGGCACATCCTAATATAGGCTAGACCAATGCCTGGCATAAAACAGCTTCATTAAATTAAATTATTTCCTTTTATTGCCTCACCTTTAAAATACATGCTTCAATGTATATTTAAAATTAAAATGTTACTCTAAGTAAGCTATTACTATTTTTTTTTTGATGATGGAGAGCTATGCTACAGAATTTCTGTAAACAGTAAAATAGGTATAGAAATGTTGGAAAAGGCATAATTCATGCAAGGAACAGTAGAGACGGCATATGCTCTTCTGCATAAAATGACTGTAATCATTGACTCCATTGAACTCTAAAAACCAATTTTCAGTTTTGAGAATATCAAAGTGCAAGCTATTTGGGAAAACAAATAGTGTAACAACTTCTCAATAAGAAAAATCACTTAATATGTAATGTAAGGGGAAGGCTTTTTCCCAATTTCCAGACTTCTATTGGTACTAATCAGAGAGCAGTTATGATTTAAGAAGAACTTATAAATTTGCTAGGCAATACTAACAGTTCTGAAAGTATTGTTCATTTCATCTGACTTCTCAGATGGGTAAACTGAAGCTCAAAGAAACTAATTCACCCAGAGAAATAGGGGTAGTAGGTCATGGAACCAAGATTCATACTCTATAATTTTTCTGGCTCTTAACCTCACTATTTTTTACTTTTCAACATTTATCTTCTCTCTGGTCAAAGACAGCAATAATTTAAAACCAACTCCAGACCTTAACCAGAATTGCCCAAAAGTAAAGCGTCTGAGAGACTAAAAAAAAATGCATTTTTCATGTACAGTTACTCTCTCTGGCCATGTAAATGATTTGCTATGTAATCTCCAATGTAATGAATTCACAAAACAAAGTTATTTTTAACATAGTCATTTAAAGAGAAATCATTTGGCTTTAGAAGAAAGGCAAGGAATAAAACTGAGTTCCTCAAATTAAAGAAATCACATCAGAAAAATAAAAGTCCAAAAAGACTGAGAGCTACTATCCTAGCAAACTACAGTCAGAAAGCTTTTGAGAATGCAGTTGTCACCAACCTTAATCTTATGCTCCAGGATTTCTAAATCTCCAACAATTTGCATTCATTAATATTTATATAAATATAGATATGCAATGCACCAATTAATCTAAAATGTACAGCAAAATGGAAAAGCTAGAAAAACAATAATTCAGTGTTATCCCATTCTGAATCTCAACTTTTTACTTCCTATTGCTGTGAAAGTTACCTATATTAGCGTAAGAACACAAAGCACATGAAATCAAATTATAAAAATTAATTACACACAATTTTAAATCTACAGTATAGGTTCAATGAATATATTTCTAAATAAAATGCTATGGTAAATTTTGCTAACTACATTTTTACATGAAGGCAAATAAAAGTAGGATATTTAAAGTGGGAGGTGCTATGTGAAACAGAATGAGCATTTGTAATGAGCATTTTTAATCCTTTAATTTATCACATATTATAACAAACATTTTGGCTAAATTAAAAGCTTTAGAGAAACTCATTTTGAATTTATTCAATAAATACATATTGACCATCTACTTTGTACAGATTGTGTAAAAAAAACTGGGAATATATATTTATATAAAGTTGTAGCTCTTAGGGAGCTAAAAATATAAAAGGAAAACATGATCCTAAAATAATTATAATACATTATGAACAATGCTATCACAGAACAATGTACACTGTAGAAGAAACCTAAAACTGCTACACAAAGAAGCCCTATGTGTGGTAAGACTTGAAAGGAGGAGTTTGCCTCTCAGACTCACCAGCACCACATTCCTGAAAGAGGAAGAGCACATGCAAAAGCATGAAGGTACAGAATATGCCACACTGGAGAGGAAGCCAGACTGACAGCAGCAAGATCATGAATGATCAAGTACTCTAGGCAAATGCATTTATAGTTTCTCTTATATGCAATATAGTCACTGGAGAAATATAATTGGGAAAACAGCATGATCAGATACTGATTTTAGAAAAGAGATCTTTGGCAAGAATGACTAAGTGGAAACTAAAACTTGAGTAACAGATTTAAGGAAAAAAAAAAAAAAGATTCCATATTACTCCTGTTAGAATGGCCATCATAACGAACACAACTAATGCTGGCGAGGATGTTGGGAAAAAGGAACCCTCATACACTGCTGGTAGGAATGTAAATTAGTAAAACCATTATGGAAAACAGTATGGAGGCTCCTCAAAAAACCAAAACTGAACTGTCATATGATCCAGCAATACCACAACTAAAGATACACCTGAAGGAATGCAAGTCAGGTTACAATAAAGGCACCTGCATGCCCATGTTTACTGCAGCATTATTCATAATAACTAAGCTGTGGAAACAACCAAGATGCCCCACTACTGAGGAGTGGATTAAGAAAATGTGGTATGTATATACAATGGAATTTTATTCAGCCACAAATAATAATGAAATTCTGTCATTTGCAGGTAAGTGAATGGAACTGAAGAACATCATCTTAAGTACAGCAATATTATGAAAAACAGGTCACACTAAGGGGAGGTTACATATGAGGGGGAGAGAGAGAGAGAGAGAGAGAGAGAGAAGGTGAATATGATTGATGTACTTCCTATACAAGAATGGATATAGAAATTTTAAACTTGTTAAAATCACCATAGGAAAGGGACTGAGGTAGAAAAGAAAAATAGAGGAGGATGAACCAATTCAAGTTGTCACAATGAAACATCTTGTATAGGTATCTTAAACAAACAAAAATGTCATTTCTTTTTACAAAAACAGAGAACAGAAAGGCAAGACAATTTCTGTCTGGAGGGCTGGTACCAGTGTTAGGGTGAGGAAGATGAATACAATGGAAATATTATGTAGATAGGTATATAAATGGAAAAATGAGACCTGTTGAAACTACTCCAGGAATGGGGATAGGGAACAATGATAGAGTGGGTGAATTCAATTAGATATATTGTAAGAACTTCTGTAAATGTCACTTTATATCCCCAGTACAATAATTTAAAAAAATAAAATAAAAAATGTGATTTTTATTAATCCAACTCATGTTTCTAGCTTTTAGTGAGAACATGCAAAATGGATGATGTTCACATTAACAAAATATTCCCATAGGTATTCTTAGAATTGTATGTGATTCCTTCTACACGAGCTGTGATACTACTGTTTTCTCTTCCATTCCTAGAAGTACAGTGGGATGCGAGTCAGTGAAAATGACATTTACTGGGAGAGATGGCCCAAACAATGTATACACATATGAATAAATGAATAAACAATAAAAAAAAGAGAAAATGACATTTACTGGATTATCCTTCTGGCTTTCTTTCTTTTTTTTTTTTAAGGTAAGTCACTTGTAAACTATGGCATTTTACTAATATTAACACTGTAGCATAACAGAGCCACTACTGTGTAAGAGGAAAAGAAGACAAAAGACAGACTAAAAGGTATAAAGTAGACTAAATGTGACTTGGTGATTGATTGCATATGCAGAGGAAGAAAAAAAGAATCACAAATGCCTTTCAGGTTTCTGACCTGGGAAACTGGAACAGCAGCAGCATCATTCATCAAGACAGGAAATCCAGACAACAGCTTTGGTGGCAGGAAGATGATGGATTCAATTTGTTCAATGTTGAGTCCCTGACACCAAGAACAGCAGTACCAGGTACCCAGTAGGGTTCACTAAACACTTATTTGTTGAAGTTTTCTAGGGCAACGTAACCACAGTACAGTTGAAACCAGCACTTCTTACCTGCTAATAACTATAGGGTTTGTCCACTACTTCACTTTAGGAAATCTGAGGCAAGGCAATTTTTTCTTTTTATAATTTACATATAGTAAGCCCATCTTATTTGCAGATTTATTCCATGTGGTTTTGACTAAGCACAGCCAAAATAAAAAATTTCAAAAACAACAATTTTAAATTCCCATATGCACATTAGGCAGCTCAGTTGATGGGAATAAACTCTTCAGTCCCATGTTATCCTCAGTTGTGTTTAAATAATTGTGTGATCTGTCCTTATTTTTGTGAAAATATGCCTCACCAAAAAACAAATGGTGCCCAAAAGCAAGTAACAGTTACAGTAATTTTTCCAAGTCAAAAAGGGCACATAATATTCTCAAGTGATAAAATGAAAATTTTAAATTTGTTAGAAGGTGACATGTATTTAACAAAAGCTGAATGGTGTTATGAGAAAAATGAATCAAGCATTTATAGTATTCAAGATATACAGCATGAAGATCTAGTTTTGGTGAACAGTATTAAGGTGTATGACAAAAATTTTTGTGACAGTAATGTAGCCTACTCCACGTGATTTCACATTATGGATGCTCAGACGTATTGTAATATGGTATAGTTAAATTTGAGTAATTTTAGAGTAATGAACTCTTTACACCTGAGCATTTGCAGTTTTCCCTCAATGGTGGCCTCTTTGGAACCATATACCTTCAGATATCAATTCATCCATTTTAAACTTACAATTTAATGGGTTTTAGTAAATTTACAGTTGTACAATCACCATCACAATTTAATTTCACAACTTCATCACTCCAAAACGAAATTTCATATCCATTATAAATGATACCCTATCTACCCCCCTACAATCACTAATCTACTTTGTTCCCATAATTTTACCTATCTTTGGTTAGTTCATATAAATAGAATCAAATAGTTTGTAATCTTTTCTGGTCACTTCGCATAGTATTTTCAAGGTTTACCCACGTTATATCAATACATCATTCCCTTCAAATGGCTGA